ACAGTGACTTACCTTTTGTTTGTGGGCAGCCAGATACCCATGCATTTTCTCAGGCTGGAGGAAGGAGGGGCCACCATGCACAGCAAAACGAACATCCAGCATTCGCTCCTTCACATCCATTAGGCTAAAGATGTTGACATCATCAGGTGGAACAGAGAGCATCTCAGACAGGAAGTCCACCAGCAGCTCGTAGCGGCTCCGCTGCTTCCCTCTCAGTTCAATGAACTCCTTTGCTATGATGTCTGAGAAACACACACACACACACGATTGGAATCTTGACTGTATAGAAGTGGCCTCATTATTTCCACCCCTGCTCAAGGATAAATCCAATTATTTTCAAACTGGGCCCAAGTACTAAACTAAAATATAGTCCAGAACACTCAAGACCGGAGCTGTGATAATAAATTGTTGGAAATGGCTCACTTTGTCTGGGAAAATCTTTTGTTGGAGGGTTATTTTGTGTCTGTACTGTATATCTGTATCTGTATGTGTGTGTGTGTGTGTGTGTGTGTGTGTGTGCACGCTTGCAGGTGAATGTAGTGATTGGGAATTGGAGTTTCTAACTGTGCCAGTTAAAGATAATTACACTCTTGACAATTTGTGGCTCAATTTCTAATCATACTCAGCACCAGGCTCTTGAGGAAATCAGTCCAGTACCCGTGGTTTAGCATGTCAGAGTTGTATGTTTAAGGGCCCAATCTGAAAGTTATGTCAATAAGATAGAGAGTACAAAAACAAGATCAAATTTAAGCTTGATCTGTGTGGCTTAAAGGTCCAGTGTGTAACATTTAGGAGGATCAATTGGAAAAAATTTAATATAATATTCATAGGTATGTTTTCACAAAGGTCTGGCTGCAGGAAAAAATAAATAAAAATAAACCCTAAGTCAGGATGCAGGAACAGTGCCTTGCCAAAAAAAGTGTTGGGTGGAAAAAACTTATTTTGGTGAAACATTTGCACATGGGGAGGCAAAGCCTGTCGTCAGAAGGGCTAATTCCCTGCAAAAGAAAAAGGTAACAGCTGCTATATTTCGTACCGTTAGCAACCAGGTTAGAGTACGTATGGTTTTGAGTGTTTAGGTTGCTATCTCCGAGGTTGTTGTTGCTATGATTTCCTGTAGCCAGAAAACGGTAATGCGCACAACGCACATACTGGAAAGGGAGAAGGATGCCAATCAAAGACAACCAAAAACAAGTTTGGCTCATATTAGAAGAACTTTATACCAATTTTACCCCTGATCTACCTCCACAGTTTTGGACCTGCTTCAGGCATGTTTAGTACAAAATATGAGCAGTTCAAAGATTAGGACAGGGAAGAAAACTTTAGGGGCAGTTTAAAAAGTCAGGGAATCACCAAAGTCTTCATCTTCCAGATGCCATGGATAAATTGAAAGAATGTCAACCTCAGAATGACGCTAGAGGAAAAGCCAGGAGATCACTAAGATAAGTTGACTGTATCCTCTCATGATGAATGTCCAGTAGTTGAGATATTTTAGTCTAGAATTAAATGGTGGATTGACCAACCAGCCAACAGCTCAACATAGGTCCCCCGACACCCCACATTGCATCTTTTAAATATTGTAAGTGGAAAGAGCCAGGCAGAAATGGGGGACGCACATAAGCTACCCATTAAATTCTTCTGATAGAAGATAAATTGTCTTCATGCAGTTGCTTTAATAAACTTGCTGTATTCTTTATAATGAATGACATACCATTTCCCTAATTACGAGGTTTCATACTGATGAAAACACAGATGAATGCAGGGTATTTTTGTTTTTTTTCCACTCAAACACAGCCACATCAAAGGAATGTATGTATAAAAGATGGTTCCCTCACTAGGAGAGGTTGCATTGGGGTTCAGCCACTCCACTCGTCTGAGAGAAAAGAAAAGTGAGTGGGAGGAGTGAGAAACGGAGGGAGCTTTTCATCCATTATTCAGCCTTTTGAAATGATCTGCTAAACTTTGTGTGTTGACAGTCAAGACTGTGTTATATACTTTCATTCATTCGCTTTTCAGGAATGCAGGAATATAAACCATGTGATATACTTTAGATCGCGAAAAGACAGGACGAGTGTCAAACCATTTTAAATTTACTATACGATTAGATTTCTTTCTTTTGCAATCTGACTGTGCCAATCTACATGTCCTGTACTGAAAGTAGATACACAGTACACACAGTTGGAAGACAGAAAAAACAAAGCATAGACAAAAGTGTAGCATTAGACCTAACCTAGTTTAAAAATATAGCCTCGGGAATTGGTTCAATTTTGGATCTCAAAATGGCTGGAACAGTTAAGTTCAGCCGAGTTGGGTCCTAACTGTACGTTTAGACCAAAAGCGTACAAAGCGTACAAAGC